GGAGCCGGCGGTGGTGCCGCGTGTAGCCGCGCAGAGAGCATCCTTGGGCTATTCCAACCTCGTGCTGCGGGTTTACCTCCTCCTGCGCCCTGAACAAGTCTGGTTCTGCTTTTTACAGCACCTGGCAGTGTGAAACGGGTAGCTGTGTGCTCCGCGGCTCATCTCTTCCCCTCTCTAAAGGGGGTGCGTTAGGAATCCTCTGCGTCCGGAGAGACCTTAACGCTGGTTTGGTCCGTCCGTTCTTCTGATATCGGTATCTTCTAAAGAAATTGTACCTGTTGGTTGCAGGGAGGATGATTTCCTGTTCTTTGAATTCCTCTCCCGGCTGAAGTTTCAGCTGACATGAAAGTTACTTGCACTTTTAAAATAATACAATGTGCAGAAAAGGGATGAGATAGCCCGGAGGGTATCTCTGCGGTTAGGGAGATACCTGCGGCTCTTCCTAGGAGCAGACTCGTTGTGCAAGTGAGATAAAGGAGAAACTCGCTGGAGCAGGGCTGTTCTTGAGATGCAAATACACTGTCTCAGTACTGCAGAAGTTTTGTGAGAGCTGGAGCTTCGCTTTCTTTTTTTTAAAGGCTTATAGAATAATTCTGTACTTTCCTGGACAAAGTGTTCCATAGTAAGTTGGGGAGAAGGCGCGCTTACAAATCATACCTTGCATTCATAATAATTCCTTGGTGAGAAATACTTCCCTCATAGCTGAGGTTACTAATAACTCCTTAATTTTTTGTAGAGACAGAGCAATATGATATGTACAGAACAGGCTTAAATCGTTATGGTAGCTCTGCAACAGCTTAGAAGGAAACCAGAAGTTCCTCCTGGCAGTTCCATGTATAGAGTAAGCAGTGAGTAAAAAAGAATGTTGAAAGGCTCGAAAGTCTTCCAGCAGCTTGAGGGGGTGGAAACTGTGGAAGAGGGAAGGTGGGATGGAAAAAGAAGATGACAGTAGGAAACAAACTCGTGATGTGTAAGCAGGTTTCAGTGCTGCACAGGACTCTTAACTGTGAAGCTGGGACTCTTCAAGGGCCTGTGCTTGAACAGGAAGAAAAATACAGATTGGCTTGGAATGTGGAGTTATAAGCATAGAACGATGGAATAATTGCTTAAGAGAGGAAAGAAATCTTCCTTTAGTTTGGAATGAAAAAAAAATCTCATTGCTCAGTTGTTTTAATAGATGCAAAACTATGACAATGTATGGGAAACTTTTGAAATCAGTAGGGAAACAGACTGTTGACTTCCATGGTTGTTTAGATGGGTTATTTTGCAGTTAACCTCTGTAAGGAAGTTGTACATAATGTACAGCTAGTTAAACTGGTTCCATGCAATTATTTTGTGTGACACGACTTTTTTTTTTGATTTGCAGGTGCAGCTGATAACCTGCTGGAAATACTGTGAAGTATCAACAATGAACTCGATGTTAATGTTATTTTTTTCTGGAATAGTTGCCTGTTGTGCTCACTCCACTGGTGGTTCAGTATCCAGGTTGCTCCTCATGTCCTTTGATGGCTTTAGGGCCGATTACTTGGAAACCTATAAGCTTCCTCATCTTCAGGAGTTCATCGAGGGCGGTGTGCTTGTAAAGCAGGTCACGAACGCTTTTATCACCAAGACTTTCCCAAACCATTATACCATAGTGACAGGTTTATATGAAGAAAGCCATGGCATCGTGGCTAACGACATGTACGATGCAGATGCCAAGAAGAAGTTTTCACAGTTCAACGACTCTGATCCCTTTTGGTGGAATGAGGCAGTTCCGATTTGGGTAACAAATCAACAGCAAGGAAACAGAGCAAGTGCTGCTGCAATGTGGCCCGGTACCGATGTAAAAATTAACAATACAACCCCACAGTTCTTCATGAAGTATAACTTTTCAGTAACGTTTGAGGAGAGAGTGGAGAAGATTGTTGCGTGGCTGAACAGCTCGACTCCGGTAGTCAGTTTTGCTACGTTATACTGGGAAGAACCAGATGCAAGCGGGCACAAGTACGGACCAGATGACACTGAGAACATGCGCAAAGTGTTAGAAGAAGTGGATAAACATATTGGTTTCCTTACTAATAAACTGAAGTCAGTGGGTTTGTGGGACACTATTAATATCATAATAACAAGCGATCACGGAATGGCCTCCTGTTCTGCGCAGAAGCTGATTAACCTGGACGACTGCATTGGCCGCAGTGACTACACTCTGATAGACAAGAGTCCAGTTGCTGCAGTGCTGCCAAGGCAGAGTATGTTTCGGGGTTTTTTAGGTCAAACACCGAGAGTTAAATCTTCTTTATCTTCCTAGTAAAACGTACACGCTATGGCAGACTGCTCACATCTCTTGCAAAACCGCTGTAGTTCGTAGCGCAGGATTATGACATAACTTGAACATTCTTTAGCTTATTCATTGTTTCTTTAGAAATTACTTTGTTTTGGTAATCCATGGGCCAAGGAGAGTTTCCTGTCAAACTGCCACGTGTGGTAAAGATGCTTCTTGTGGCAAAAAGCAGATAGGCAGTTAGTACGCCTGCTCTCTTGTCGCTTGGTCTGTGTAATTTGGTGAGCTTGAAATAAACCCTCCTGTTTATTCAAGGCAAAAAAAAGTCTTTAGCTAAACTTGAAGGTACAGATCTAAACCCAACTATGATCGCTTTACCACTTCTGTTTCTGCGAATGAAACTTCAGTTTTCATACTGTGAATTCAGTTTTTGAATTTTGGAGTAGTTACTAACGGGCGTGTCCTAAATCATGATGCAGCTGGTCCCGGTTTCCACAGCTGTGGCCAGGCTGAAGCAATGAACAGAGTGATTTATATAGTAACCAAAATGCAGTATTTACTGCTTTGGATGACATATTGACTGCTTTGGGGTGTGATTGCTCTCTCTTGATTTCTCTGCTTGAATTTTGACTTCCTCCCCTGCAAGCCCAGAGGGTAAGTTGAGTTGCAGGTCCAAAACCACAGCCATGAGGTGCCTGATTTAAAATGAGAGCAGATTGTGAAATCCACCTCGATACATGTAGGGACATACAAAAATCCTTTTCTGTATGCCTTTTAAAAATAATTGTTTGGGAAAAAATGGATTTTAATGACAGATAATTGCAATAAACGGGACATAATTTCCAGCTGTTTCACATGCATTACTTTTTTTCTTGGCAGACAAGAGAGATGTGTATAACCTACTGAAAAAATGCAGCAGTCGCATGAAAGTCTATCTGAAAGAAGAAATTCCAGACAGATTTCACTATCGTCATAATAAGAGAATTCAACCCATAATTCTGGTGGCGGATGAAGGCTGGACAATCGTGCAAAACGAATCACTTTCAAAGCGTAAGTGTTTTTTAAGGGATGGGGGATGTTCCGTTAGCTAAAACACTTTATCGCGTTCAACCTAACAGCCTGAGAGAGTAACACTTTTAAGAGTTACTGTAGGCAGGTTAGCAGTCTGCCTCAAGCTGCCACTAGAGTGTCGTTTAACTATTTTCTGTATGTAAAATGTGTACGTAGGGGAGCATGAATTGAGGAATGCAAGACACAGCATTTAATGTTACAGTACGTGTACTGGGAAACAAAAATAAATGGGAGGAAATACTAAATATAACGGGAACGCAACAATAACGGTCGAAGAAGCCGGAGTTCTTCTAGTTAGGGGCATCAAATAGCGTGTTAGATAGACAAAAACCAGAAGCTCGCAGAGTGCATCGCTAAGCTATGCCCTTTCTCCCTGCTAGATGCCACGAATGTCAAATTACACACATACCTGTGTGTATGTGAGTGTATATCTCACGGGTGCCATCCAGAGGGACCTGGAC